CTCCGTGGCCGCGTGTCCTCCTCCTGCGGGCCCCCTGGGCTCTGGCCTGCGGCCGCGTTACACTCGCCACAGGGCTGCTTTCCGCAGTCACGCTCGAGCTCACCTCCGCGCCCTCGTCCCTGTCGCCGGGCGTCTCCGCAGGTGTCCGGCAGGGTGTCCGAGTGGCCTCCACCCTCCCGAGCCGCGCGTCGCCGGTGTTGGCTGTGGGCCAGTGGTGTCCCTGCGTGGGGTCCGGCCATGGCTGCGGAGGCGGTGCCCCAGCCCCTTGGCTTCACTCTGCTCCTGTTTGGTGCGCACCTCGTTTTGAGGCTCTTAAGGAGATTTATGCATTTATGCACACAGAGCCGGGGTGCAGGCGGGAGGGCGCCCCAGACACAGAGCAGGGATCAGGACAGCGGATTCACTGCTGAGGGGGCCTTTGCCTCGCAGAATGGACATTTGTAGAGAGCAGACGTCCTGTGGAGGGGCGCGAGGGGTGGAGGTGCCCACGGGGCAGACCCTGCTGGGCCTCACAGGCGCCCTGGCCTGGACAAGCAGACACGGGAGCGTGGGGGAGCCACTCCATGCCACTCTTAGCAGGCATCACACCAGGCCTAGCTGGCTCATGTCTGGGGCGGAGGATAGCGAGGCCCAGGGGCCCCAGGAGGCACCCAGGAGGCTCCCAGTGGGCACTGGGGGCACCCAGGAGACATCAGGATGCACCCAGGAAGCACCAGGAGGTACCAGGGGTCACCAGGAGGCACCCAGGGGGCTACAGCAGGCACCCAGGGGGCACCAGGAGGCACCCAGAGAGCACCAGGAGGCACCGGGGGCACCCAGAGGGCACCAGGAGGCACCCAGCGGGCACCAGGGGCACCCAGAAGGCTCCCAGTGGGCACTGGGGGCACCCAGGGGACATCAGGATGCACCCAGGAAGCACCAGGAGATACCAGGGGTCACAAGGAGGCACCCAGGGGGCACCAGGAGGCACCAGGGGCACCCAGAGGGCACCAGGAGGCACCCAGAGGACACCAGGAGGCACCCAGAGGGCACCAGGAGGCACCCAGAGGCACCAGGAGGCACCAGGGGCACCCAGAGAGCA